CTAAAATAGTCATATTCCAGGAGACAGGAAGTTGAATGGGGACTGCTAGGGACTGCGGGAGAGAAGGATGAGAAAATATTGTTTAATGGATACAGAGTGTGACTCTGGGAAGATGAAAAACTTCTGAAGGTGGATGATGGTGATCATTATACAATAAGGTACTTGCGTGCAATGGCACATACTTGCAATCCCAATGACTAGAGAGACTGAGGTAGGAGGATTGTGAGTACAAATCCAGCCTTAGAAAGAAACTTAGCAACTTAGTGAGAACCTGTCTCAAAAAAAGAGCTGGGGATGAAGCTCAGTGGTTCAGTACCCTTGGATTCAATCCCCTGTACCACAAAACAAAACAAAACCCCAGAATGCCTGCCCATACTGTTCTCTTTTACCTGCAGGAACTCCAGATAACCAATGCTCCCTCTAAAACAGGTAAGAGGAGGAGGTAAAGGATGTTGCTCCAATCCTGCCTGTTCCAATCTCTGTCATTTCTACTCTCGTGCCCAAATCTTCAACTAGTTCTTTCTTTGCATCTTTTTCATTCACTAATGTCTACTAAGCATGGGTCTTGATCCAGTACTGAGAATACATTCTAGAAACCAAACCACTCTCTGCACAGTCCCAGCTCCCTCCTGTCTGCTCCATTTACTTTACCCCAGTGAACACTCATTTCACACATTTTCAGCTTTCTTCTCTCAATTGACATCCATTTTAGTGAAAAATATATCTTGTTTGTTCATGCTGCTATAAAAAAAACACATTAGGTGGTATAATTTATAAACAACAGAACTGTTTCTCACAGGGCAGGATGCTAGGAAATCTAAGATCAAGGGACAACCTGATTTAGTACCTGGTGATAACCCATTCTTCATAGATGGTGCTTTGTTGCTGTGTCCTCACAAGGAAGAAGGGCAAAAGGAAGGGTGTTCCTCAATCCTCTTTTATAAGGGCACAAATCCCATTCAGGAGAATTCTACCTTTTTAAATTACTCACCTCATAAAGGCCCCATCTCTTACACTATCACTTAGTGATTAAATTTCAACATATTTATTTGGGGGGGTTCATATCATATCATATACTTTGCAGAGTACCTTTGGTTCATATTTAATTTAAAAAGAGAGTTAGGCTGGGTGCTGTGGCACACACCTATAATCCCAGACACTTAGGAAACTGAGGCAGGAGGATCGCTAGTTCAAGACCAGTGTCAGCAATTTAGCAAGGCCCTGAGCAACTTGGTGAGACTCTGTCTCAAAATGAAAAATAGGGAGTTGGGGCTAGGGATGTGGCTCAATGGTGAAGAACCCCTGGTTCAATCCCTGGTACCAAAAACAAATAGAGAGTTAGAAGGAGTAACAGGTGAAATAGACACAAACAGCCCTCTAATTCATTCAATTAGACTCAAATATTCTACAGCAACAAACCTCAAATCACAGTGGCTTCACACAACAGAAGTTTACTTTGTACTCATATTACATGTCCAGTACAGCTCTGGACAGGGTCTACTCTGTGTAGTCACCTAGGTTTGTGGAGGTCCCACCAACCAGAACAGACTCCTCAATAGTTACTTCAGACTGGCTTTCTATTACCTCAGCCTGGAAGCAGAGCACACATTTCCACTTCCACTGCATTTATAAGAACAGTGTGACCTGCCTAGCAGCAACTGAAATGTTTAGTAAGCCCTACCATCTCTGCTATAGTTTCTTTACTGTGTTCTCACCATCCAAAAAGTAAAATTGGGATTACTTGCTCCCTTTTCTGGACTCCACTCTTAACAGGTAGAAGCTTCATATTACTTACTTTGTAACTTTTGATGCCTAGTACAGAGCCCAGCATGTAGCAGGTGTTCATTGTTTGTGGAGTGAATGAATGATGGCAGAAAATAAAGAACCTAAAAGAAAGTGAAAGCAGTACCTAGAAGGATCAGCTTAGGAGCTAGCTGCCTTATCTGAGAAACAGCAAGGAGGGCCAAGAAAACAATCCTATCGATTTTAAAAGCTAAATCAAACCTTGTGGAATAGTGGTACAGTCCTCAAGTAACACAGCTCATTGTTGGGTATGAAGCATCCAGTGATAATAAGAAAACAGACTGCACTGTAGAAGAAAAGGGAAATGGGACTCCAGGAATGCCAATTGGTTTTGGGAAAAAATTTGATTTCAGAGCAGTTTCATGAATAAACTAGGCCTAGGGAAAATGGTTTGACTTCTCTGGCATAGGTTTTTAGAGCTATTTTTGCTGTTCCTGGGTTACCATGTTAAGCATTTGTCCAAACATTTTTCCCTTGTACAAAAGTAGAAGGATTGACTCTATAAAACTGCTCTTTGTTTAGAAAGTTATCAGTTTTATCAAGTTCAGTTCTCCAATATTCTCCAAGGCCACTTTCAGCTGTAAGTAGGGCACTGTCCAACCAAGTCTGAACCTGTTGCTTCTGTTAACTTATTAATAATATGTCTCACAGTTACTCTTCAGACTGTTTGGGCTTGGACGATAAATTTAAATCTAAGTCCATTCTAGTTACAAGTAACAAGCTGGGGGTGGGGGGGGGGGATGCGCGGATGCAGTGACCTGGAGTCCTAGAAAAGAATAGAGCAACAAACATTTCCATTGGTTTTCATACCCAGTGTGTGCTGGGAGAGTACCCAGAAGGCCAGATTCAGGACTACTGAACTGATGGGCCATTCTCTGGGAGGAAGGCCAGGTGTTCCAACCACTTCCTGCAGAACAAGGTGCAGTAAGTCAGGAGAGGGGCGGGAGGGTTCCTCACCCAGTCAATTGCTGTCTTCCTCACCTAAGAAGTCACTCACTTAAGGCACCTGACCATCGGTTTCCCTAACTGTAAAATAATGTTTACCTCCAAAGGCTGTCTTTCTTATTTAACAATGGCCATTATTACTCCATTATATCGACAAAGCTATGAAGGGCCAAAGTATGCTGATCAAGGTCCATAATAATTCTAACAGCTACTATTCATGAGGTGAGTGCTCAAGCAGTCAGTGCCCAGTATCTGACATAAAGAAAATAGATACTTGGAAAGAGAACTTAGGTCACAGAACTCATAAATGGCTGGGAAAAAACTGAGCCTGGAAGTTGAGTTCAAAGCCTGCTGACTACTTAAAGTATGCTTAGCTGGAGATTTTAAGTTTGAGCATCTGCACAATTCCCCGCCCTCCTGTTGGGACTCTATATCCAGTGCTCTTTTCTTTTCATCACTCTCACAGCCCATCAGAAACCCACTGTGGAAGAGATCAAACACAACAAAGGGCAGAAGGAAAGCTTGGAAAATCCAATCGAAGTCCCACAAACCAAGATGTCTGGGCTCCAGTAAATCACCAGGGAATCATACCGATTGGCCTTCCCTCTAACCCCGAAAACAAGTCACCTTTTTAAGACTCGCTTCCTTGGCGGAGAGAAGCCTGGGGCCCGGGTCTGGCTAAGAGCTTACGTAAGGCCAACCGGCTGCTACACCCCGATCTCCAGAGGGTGTGTGCAGAGCCCCTGGCCGGGCTGCCTTTCCCCAGCCCGTCTGCTACCCAATCTTTCCGCCGGAACGCAGGGGCGGCCCAGGACCACCAGCTTCAGGCAGGCAGCTGAGTGCTGGGCGGCGGCGTCCCCGCAGCCACCCAGCTTCCCGGGGGAGGAGCAGCGCATCGCGCAAGCATCCGGGAGCGGCGGAGGGGGCGGGAGAAAAGGCGAGAGGAGGAAGCGGGATTTAAACGAAAGGCGGTGACGCCACACAAAAGATTTCTATAGGCTCCGGGGAGGTTACGGCGAGGTGCGGCGGCGGCGAGCCGGGGGCGAGGCGCGGCCGGGCAGAGGGGAAGCCTCCGGCGGCCCCGGCGGGCGAGCACCCACGGCCGTGCTCCAAGGCTAAGCTGCGCGCAGAGAGGAAGCGGGTGTTTTCCCCTCGCCTTTTGGTCCCCGCCCTTCCTTTCAGTTTCTCCCTGCTCGCTCGGAAGTTGGTGGTTGACGGAAATGGCAGGAGCCGGGGCCCCGGCTGGTGGCCACGGCGCTAAGGGGACCTTCTGAGTCGGCTCATCAGCCGTGTAGACGCGTGCATCTGCATCCGATGCGCGGGGCTCGGGGCCTCCGGAGAGCTCAGCCGCTGCGGGCCCAGGACGAGGGCGCGCCGGAGATGGATTCGCGCCGACAGCCAGCAGCGGGCCGCCGGGCGCGCGGTCCGGGAGGGCGTGCCGCCGCGGCTTCGGGCCGCACGCTGTGAGCCGCCGGGCGGGAAGGGCCGCCGCGGAGCCCCGCGCACCCGGGCGTGGCGGGCGAGAGCACGAGTGGGGCGGCCGCTGTGCGCAATCAGTGCAGGCTCCCACCCGGCTCTGACTCGGCGCGGCCGCGACAGCGCGGCCACACCCTCCGCCCTGCAGCCGCCGCCGGCGCCGCTTCCTGAGAGCGCGAGGTAGGAGATGTGCCTGGGGCAGCTGTGCGTTCCAGAGTGCCAGTCCGGGCAGCCGTCGCAGAGAAGTGCCGCCTGGCGGGGTCACCGCGCCTGAAGCCCACGTGCGCCGCCGAACCCAAGGTGGCCTGTGGTTGACAGCACAGCCCTCCGGAGCCGCTGCCCGTGTTCCTCCCCGAGGAAAGGATTTTGATTTCAAAGAAAGGAAGGAAGGAAGGACAACTCCCAGCTTCCCTGTCCCGCCCTCTCCGCTCCGGGGCGGCCGGGCCAGGCCATGCCCAGGAAGGCTGCGACGGCTCAGCAGAAGGGACTTTCCTGGCAGCACCGCGGCGAGGAGCGCGGACTGTGAGTTTATTCTGCCGCGGTTCATGCTTCCTGCAAGCCTTCTAGGAGGCCGAACGCTGCAGCCTCTCCTCACGCCCCGAAGAGCCTCCGGTGTTCTCTGGCCCTCGGGCTCACCCTACGCTGCCCGGGCTCCGGCCGCCGTAGCCCAGTGCCCTCTACCCGCGGCGGTGGATGGCATGATGGTGCGGGGAAGGCACCGCGGCCTTGGCCAGCTGAGTCGCGGGGGCGGCGGCAGCGGCGGTGGTAGCGGGCTCCCCAGCGGCATGCCAGTGCCCCCTGGGCGCGATGGCTAGCGGCAGCGCTGGGAAGCCCACTGGCGAGGCGGCTTCTCCGGCTCCTGTGAGTGCCGTCGGTGCGGCCAGCTCGCAGCCACGGAAGAGGCTGGTGTCGGTCTGCGACCACTGCAAAGGCAAGATGCAGCTGGTGGCTGACCTGCTACTACTGTCCAGCGAGGCCCGGCCAGTGCTCTTCGAGGGCCCCGCCTCCTCTTGTGCTGGTGCGGAGTCCTTTGAGCAGTGCCGGGACACCATCATTGCGCGCACCAAGGGGCTTTCCATTCTCACCCATGATGTGCAAAGCCAGCTTAACATGGGCCGATTTGGAGAGGCTGGGGACAGTCTAGTGGAGCTGGGCGACCTGGTGGTGTCGCTGACCGAGTGCTCAGCCCACGCTGCCTATCTGGCTGCGGTGGCCACCCCAGGCGCACAGCCTGCTCAGCCGGGCCTAGTGGATCGCTACCGCGTGACACGCTGTCGCCACGAGGTGGAGCAGGGCTGCGCGGTGCTAAGAGCCACCCCACTGGCCGATATGACCCCGCAGCTGCTGCTGGAGGTGTCACAGGGCCTGTCGCGAAACCTCAAATTCCTGACGGACGCATGCGCCCTAGCCAGTGACAAATCACGGGACCGCTTTTCACGCGAGCAGTTCAAGCTGGGCGTCAAGTGCATGAGCACCAGTGCATCGGCGCTGCTGGCCTGCGTAAGGGAGGTGAAGGTGGCACCCAGTGAACTGGCGCGTAGCCGCTGCGTGCTCTTCAGTGGGCCCCTGGTGCAGGCTGTGAGCGCACTGGTGGGCTTCGCCACCGAGCCGCAGTTCCTGGGTCGCGCGGCCGCTGTGAGCGCAGAGGGCAAGGCGGTGCAGACCGCCATCCTGGGTGGTGCCATGAGCGTGGTGTCAGCCTGCGTGCTTCTGACCCAGTGCCTCAGGGATCTGGCGCAGCACCCCGATGGGGGCGCCAAGATGTCGGACCACAGGGAGAGGCTGAGGAACTCGGCCTGCGCCGTGTCTGAAGGCTGCACCCTGCTATCTCAGGCTTTAAGAGAGAGGTCTTCACCCAGGACTTTACCGCCAGTAAATTCCAATTCTGTGAATTAGCAACACCCCCCTCCACCCCATGCCCTTTCTTCTACCCCAGCCTAAAGGAAGACACTTATTCTCTGCCCCTCTCCATTTATACCAAAGAAATCATAGGTGAAACACCCCCCCCCCACCACCATGTTAATTGCCCAAGAAGAATCTTCCAGAAGTCAGGGCCACGCACACAACTCACATGCACCGAAGAACCCAGGTGTCAAGCGGCCCATACAGGAGTGGGGAGCAGAAAATGGGTAATCTGCTGATTGTGGTTTTACCCCTACACCCCACCCCTGTCCGTCAACTGAATTTTATTAATTGGGCAGGAAGGAGGTCATGGGTTCATTTCTTCTTTTTTATTTTAATTAAAAGAAAGGTTACCTCAGTTTCACTCTTTAGACATGGATGTAGCTACCTTTTTTTTTTTTTTTTGTATGTTATTTTTTTAAGCAATTGTGTTGAATTAGGAGTATACTTGGTGTGGAAAGAGTATGACTTTGCCATGTGATTTGCAAATGGGGGGAAAGCTACTGTGAGCGTGTTTTATTTTTTAATTTACACCATAGAGTGATTTTTTTCCCCCAGTGTCAAGTTTTTACCTTGCATGTACTGGAGTATTTATTTCATCTATTAAAATGTTATGTTTCTCAGATGGCTTTTTGTAATTATTGTTTGATTTTCAATAGTATTTTTGTATGCTTTATGTCATCTAAGAAAGGGACAGTGGAAAGGCTACTTTCAATAGTGATGAGGAAGTTCCCTAATTCTCAACCCTTTCTGCTTTTTCCTCAAGAATTGTTCTTTTGAGCAGCCTAGGAGTCATAAAGACACAAATGTATAATATAACCTATCTTTGAAGGCAGGTATCAGGAAAATGATTGAATTATGTATATATAGTGCCTGGGATGATCTGTTGAGGGGGGATGTCTTGCTTCTGCAAAGTAATTTAACTTTGTCTCCACTCATCTTTCCATCATAATGATATGAAGTTCAGATCTGATTTGTATTCTGTCATTTTCAGATTAAAGCACTTCCTAATCCTGTGTGGGCTGCCTTCTCAGCTGGGAGGATCTATGTATGGAACTTAAAGTACTGTATATCAAGTAAGAATCTTTAGCATCTTTCATGTAGATGAGTCTATTGAGACAAGATCCCTACAATTTTAGGGAGAAAAAATAAAGATTCTAGATTTTCATTGCAAAAGATGTGATCTGGAAAGTAAGAACTTTTTTAGAGTTACAGTATAATTGCAGGCAGACAACTTATTTTTGTGACCTTGATCTCTTAAGATATACCATGATTGATTGTATGTTGAAAGAATGCTTTGTTGATTGAAATTTGGAGTTATGGTAAGGTAGTCTGCAGACATTTAAGGGGATTTTTTTGGGGGGTGGGGTAGTAGTGGAATGTATAGTTTTAACAAACCTAGTTAAAATGTTGAACATTTTCTTTCTAAAAGAATAACAACATTTATTATAGTTCTTGAAATTTGGGAGGGCCACATGGATAAAAACTCATATGTACCTTAAATTTGTATGGTTTACATTTTTTCCTAAGGATTTGTTATGCTTAAACCTTTGCAGTTCCCACAGATCTAAAGAGAATTTTTCACTGTAATACATTAGAGAGAAGAAAGTCATTTTGACTGTTTTATTTGTTTGAATGGCTGTGTTTATTGCAAGAATGTGAAATTCATTGTGTAAATGTCTTTCAATTTGTTTGGGGGTCAGACTAGGACCGTTTTGCAAATTTGGAATTGAATAAGTCTTAAAGTGGTATAGAGTACATACATGTTTCATAACGAAGGGGGCAGTTGTTTTGCTTTTTAAGGACCTGGTAGGTTTATACTTTTAAAGTAAAAGATGAAGGTGACCTTGAGTGTTTATTCCTCCTCCCCACCCTTCTGTAAAATATATCTATCTGGATCAGGTTCAGGAAGATTTTGCTGGGGAGAGGGAACTCATGTGTCAATGACAATTCTATAAAATTCTTACTTTATTGGATGTATACAACTAATGATAGAATCTGTAACCATATGGCTCATTTAACCTATGCAGATCACAAAAGAAGTAAACTGAAAAGAACAGATACTAAGTAAAATAAGAACCAGAAATCTTTAAATTTAGGGTTTAGTTAAGAAAAAAGAATTGCTGATGTTTTCCTGGACTCATTTCTCACAAAAGCAATTTTCAGGAAAATTCAAACCAAAAAAAAAATGGTAAGGAAAAAATAAAATCATTTGCCCTATCTCCTTGGACTAGCTAGTCTCTAAATTAATTTGGAAACTTTCTCTTAGTCAAATGATAGTACCTCGCAATGTACCTGGTATATAATACCTCTGTCCTCAAACTGATAAAGTTTCAAACTTAATATAAGTGGTACTTAAACTCTTTTACCTACTCAGTTCATGAGGTAAGATTCAGGGCTTTTCTTTTAGCAGGTGTCTTGAAATGAATTATAAATCAGATTGTTTTTCCCAGCAGATTTCAAGAAGCCAGAGTGAGGAACATACTGCACATTATTTCTGAGTGTCTGCGTCGCTTGACTAGGCAAGGGACTTGGGCACAGTCTTTCTTCCAGTGTACCAGGTTGCTAAACTTGTTTTTAAAAATATGGCCTTATTTTTGAAAAGGAATATCTCAGACCTATTTCATAATAGGGTTTAATAAGGTCAGTAGAGATACTGGTTCCAGGAATAAAATCAGACTGGCCTGACTTCTCTTAAAGTAAACCACACTGCAGTTAATTTAAGACATCAATCAGTGGGTTCTTCTGACTTCTCAGGGCAAGGTTTCTTACACAAGCTGAATGCATACCATCCTGCCCAGGGGTTGCTGTCAACGTTGGAATGGTCATGAGAAAAGGAAATCATTATAGTTTAGTCTCTGAACAAAGCCATTATTTATGACAGTCAACCCAAGCTAATGGGACAAAACAGGCTTTCAAACACAAGACTTCACTTAACCAGAAAAAGAAAAAAAAAAGCATCACTCTTTGGCTGTTTTAAGTTCGGTCTTTATTATTCATTCTGGGTTGATGTTAGCAAATGCAAAAAATTAACTGTGTGTGTGGGTTCATTTGTGTGTTCTCCCCCAACCTCTCTAATTCTGGAGGCATTAGTTAACATCTGATTGGTTATTTTATAAACACTGTTCTTCTTGAACTGGCATAGAGATCTAAAATGTTTGGCAGTTTGAAACAGCTAATTTTAACAGAAACACCTGTTTTTCCCAGCAAATGTGACTATGGTAACATGGAGATCAGGCAGAAGATTTGAAAAGTGACTGCCAAAGTCCCTTCTGAGCTGTGCTCAGTGATGTGAGAGGGCTTGGGGAAGAATTCCATAAAGGCTTTGTGGCACTTTTACCTAGTTCTGTTTCCAGGCCAATCTCTGCCTTCTGGCAACTGGAAGGACACTTTTCCGTGTGAACACAGATACTGTGTTCCCTATGGGAAAATTCTCTTGTTTTTGTTTTTGGTTTTTTTGCATATGTTGAAGGTCCATCATGCCTAAGTTATTCTTTAGGGTCCTTTGGATGCCAGAGTTTTCTGTTTTCTGCATGGTGGTAGAAGGCTCAAAATTTTAAGGAAAAAGTATGATAGTAGCATCTATGATAGAGGTCAGTTTAACTGTAAACTCCTTAAGGGTAGATGTGATAATCCCTTGGCACACATGTAGCCATTGTTTTGAAATCAGTGTGCCTGTAGCACATATAAATGAGCAAGTGGTAAACTTGTACCTGGAGATGGAAATTATAATGGTCATTCATTTGATAAATGTATACTGGGAGCCAGCTCTGTGCTAGGCACTGCGGGGTGGGGTGTGTGTGACTGTGATTGAGATAGGGGTCCACCCCTTGAAAAAAGAATTGCTAATGTTTTCCTGGACTCATTTCTCACAGAAATGAGCAACCTTGAAATGTTGCTGTCTAGACCCAGTATTGCTTTAGGTGTGCTCCAGACCCACAGCATCAGCATCATCCCTACCTGAGGTCTGTTCAGTCAGAAGCTCTCAGCATGGAGTTTTATAATGTACTTTGCAAAATAACCAAGATACTTTGCAGTATAATCAGGAAATGTATCTTTGTATGTCGACTGTGCACCAAGAATTACGATGCTGTTTCAAGTCTCATGCTATCCTTAATGGTTCCAGATGCTGCATTAGCATCCCCCATTGCCTATACAGAATCTCATCTTCACCCCGGAGCTTACTAGAACCTGCTTTTTGGAGAGATCTCCAGGTGATTCCTGATCGATTAACATCTGGTAGCATTGATTTAGGACATAAATATGGTGGCCATGACCGAATCATGGGTTTACTTCTTACTGTGGAAACATTTGTTATGTTTACTTTGTAAATCAATTTCATGGGTATTATGTAAGCAGTTTCTTAAAGCAGTTTTAAGAGGTAAGCAGGTATTACTCACTGTACTTGTCATCCAAACATTTGTGCCTCTATTTTCCCGTTGTAAAAATTAAACCAAATATTTATAATGAAGTTCCACAAAGTGGAAGGCCTTGTGATGACCTTTGTAAAATGGCTGTATCCGCTTCATAAGGTGATGTCATTGAAAGTTATGTTAAAAGCCAGTTTCCCACCAAGCACCGTGGTGCACGCCTGTAATACCAGCAATTCAGAAGGCTGAAACAGGAGGATTGCAAGTTTGAAGCTAGCCTCAGCAACTTAGTAAGACCCTAAGCAACTTAGCAAGATTCTGTCTCAAAAAATACAAAAGGCTGGGGATGTAGCTCAGTGGTAAACCACCCAGGGTTCAATCCCTAGTACTAAACCAAATAAATAAACAAAACAAGTATGATGCTAGTTGAGTTTTCACTTAGAACTTAATTTTTAAGGTATGTAGGCATTGTGTATTAGAAATGCAATGGCAAGTTATTTGTGGAACTGACAAAAATAGATCATCTGATATTTCAGCTGTCTTGATGGAATCATCTCACTCCATAGCAATTTCCAGTATATTGCTTCTTTAAATGGAGCCTGCTGTGGACATTATTACATCAGTGTGTCTTGTGACTAAAGAGTCTCATAAAGATAGCTTTATATCCAGTTCAGCTCAGCCACAATGTCTGATAGTTCGTGAGAACATGTTTTTTCTACCTGGAAAAATGATTACCTATATAACTAAAGCAGAGGTTTAATATCAACCAAATAGATAGGAAATCATTTTAAAGATGCATCCTCATAAGTGGCTCAAGTTTTCTACTTCCCTTTGTGTCTTTCTAAAGCTCAACCAAAGTTTCTTGCCCACTGAAGATTCTAGAGACAACGAAAATTGTTGACTTCACTAGGCCTTTTTCTTCATCCCAGGCAGCTATGGAACATCTGATAGATTTACTCTAATAACAAACAGTGCATAAGCCCATTGTTAGTTCATAGGTCAAGTTAGGTTTAGAATAATATCAGGTTTAGCAAAGGTGATGGCAAAAATTTCTGATTTAGCAAACATTTGCTAATTTCTGGGACAGGCTTAGGTATGTTCTCTGTTGCTTTATACTTTGTGTTTCTACAACAAAATACCCAAGGCAGCTAACTTTATAAAGAGAAAAGTGTTACTCAGCTCAAAGGCAGGGTGCCTTCAACAGCTCAGTTCTGGAAAAAGCCCAGCTGCAGTCACATCATGACCATCATCTAGT